TCCCTCCCCTATTTCCCCCCAACTGACCCCAGTGTGTAGTGCTCCCCTCCCTGTGTCCATGTGTTCTCATTGTTCAACACCCGCCCATGAGTGAGAACACTCTAATCTTATTTACCACTGTTCTCCAACAGCATCCTCTAGTTCAATCAAGAGACTACACCAGGCTTGCATATCATGTCTAGAATTTATATCACCTGAAATGTCTACTATGTATGCAAATCTTATTCTGTCTTCAAATCTCAACACTTCTAGAAAGCCTGCGAAGTGGTAGTTACAGAGATTATTTCATTTCAGTGTCCCTTGACCCATAAAAACAACAGGGAAACTTCTCAATAGAGGCAGAGAGAGACAAGTTTAGAATAAGCCCTGATTTGCTGGGGAAGGGTCAGAGGGACAAGAATGGAGAGAGCATTTAATTCTGCTCCAGGTAAGGCAGGAGACCTGGAGAACTTCAAAGAGGTCGATTTGATTAGAAGTCATGGGAATAATAGGCGAACATTATAAAAAATAAAATAAAAAAAAAAGTGAAAAGCCTGAGCACAGAGGCAGAGTGCTGTGAAAATCCATGGTGCTTTAAGAGAAGAGTGAGTCAGATACCAAATGCAAATGACTGGGAAGGGGAAATCAGGAGCAGACTGCAAAAAGCCTTGACCGGCAGACAGCCTGAATCCTAGACTGGGCAAGGCGGCAGGGGGTCGCCAGAGTCTTTAAACTGGAGCTATGCGTTGACGTCCAATTTCTGAAATCTAAGTTGGCTTTCAAGACAGAGAGTCAACTGAAAAGAGAAGGGGCAGATACCCGTTTAACGCAACAAAGATATTTCAAAATGTTTACTGGCTGGGCACGGTGGCTCACACCTGTAATCCCAGCACTTTCGGAAGCCAACGTGGGAGGATCACTTGAGAACAGCCTGGGCAATATGGCAAAACCCTGTCTTTACAAAAATTATTATTTTATTTTTGGGGAGTGAGATAGAGTCTTGCTCTGTTATCCAGACTGGAGTGTAGTGGCACCTCTCTCAGCCTTCTGGGTTCAAGCAAGTCTCCTGCCTCAGCCTTCCAAGTAGGTGAGATTACAGGCCTGTGCCACCATGCCCAGCTAATTTTTGTACTTTTAATAAAGACACAATTTTGCCACGTTGGCCAGGCTGGTCTCAAACTCCTGACCTCAAGCAATCCACCCACCTCAGCCTCCCAGAGTGCTGGGATTACAGGCATGAGCCACTGTGCCCAGCCTATTCTACAAAAAAATTTTTTTTAGTTAGCTGGACATGGTGGTTTGTGCCTGTAGTCCCAGCTACTCAGGAGGCTGAGATGAGAGGATCACCTTGAGCCCAGAGTTTGGGGCTCCAGTAAGCACCACTGCACTCCAGCCTGGGAAACAGAGCAAGACCTTGCCTTAAAAAAAAAAAAAGGAAAGGAAAGGAGAGGAAAGGTTTATTCTGTTTATTTATTATAGACAGAGTTTCACTCTTGTTGCCCAGGCTGGAGTGTAATGCCATGATCTTGGCTCACTGCAACCTCTGCCTCCCAGGTTCAAGTGATTCTCTTGCCTCAGCCTCCGGAGTAGCTGGGATTACAGGTGCCCACCACCACACCCGGCTAATTTTTTTTTTTTTAGTAGAGACGGGGTTTCACCATGTTGGTCAGGCTGGTCTTGAATTCCTGACCTCAGGTGATCCACCCACCTTGGGCTCCCAACGTGCTGGGTGGGATTACAGGCGTAAGCCACAGCACCCGACCAGGAAAAGTTTATTAAGTAGTCTATCACAGAGGAGAGTGAATTCTTTCAGCTCCGAACACATTTAAATTCAGCATCATTTGGTGATTACTGAATTGTTCTCCAGTTGTAAATACATTAGTTTTCTCTCTTTCCAAGATTATAATTTAGGAAAAAAGAAAGATTAAGTAGCAGGACAGTAGAGTCAGAGAGTCTGGGTTGAAACCCATGTCTGACACTTGCTGGCTGTGATCTTGGGCAAGTGTCCGTGCCTCACTTTCCTATCTATGTAATGTCGTATCATGTGCCCCTCACAGGACTATAAAGGACTAAAAATACACCTAAAATAACCAACACAGTCCCCTGCATAGTAAATCCTCAGTAAATAATATTTGTATGAACTGTATTTGGTACCCAGTATCATAGGCTGAGCATATAATAAAGATTTATTAAATCTTTGTCAATCATATTTTTCTATAAACCCTGAAGAAAGTTTAAAATATTTTAAACACCCAGGCCGGGTGTGGTAATTCCAGCACTTTAAGAGGCCAAAGTGGGAAGACTGCTTGAGGTCAGGAGTTTGAGACCAGCCTGGCCAACATGGTGATACTCTGTCTCTACCAAAAATACAAAAATTAGCAGGGTATGGTGGCCGATGCCTGTAGTCTCAGCTACTCCGGAGGCCGACGCAGGCGAATCGCTTGAACTCGGGAGGCGGAGGTTGCAGGCAGCGATCACGCCACTGTACTCCAGCCTGGGCGACAGAGACTCCGTCTAAAAAATAAAATATTAAACTTTTCCTCGCATTTAGATAGGTTAATACTTCGAATAATGGGAAAATAACTTTTTTAAAAGGCAGTGCAATTTAGAAATGGAAAAGCAGCTTTCCCAACAGGTTTTGAGAAGCAGCTGACAGAGAACTCACTTTGACAGCTCTGCGAAAAGCGACAGTCATTGTGTAACCTTAACTTGCAAAGTCACATTTCAAAGCCAGAAATCAAAGTCCAGGGTATCAGCCACGGAGCCTGAGGCCATAAAGATGCTGGGCAGGAGCTCCAGGCTCGGATAATGGGGGTGGTTATTTCAAAATCGTCCCAAGTGACAAGCTCTAGGACGTGCTATGCTTTAAAAAAATAATAGTAACAAGTCGCCGTGAAATTAACAGGGCGAAAACTCTGCCCAGCGATCGCAGCAGGAGACTCCGCGCTCTCCAGACCACCGGGTGGCCGGGCCGGGCGCTCCTTCAACAGCAGCCGAGGCAGCGGCGACCCGGCCGCAGGCCCCTCCTTCGCGGTCCGGCCCCGCATTCCTGCCTGGGTCTATACTTAACCTCCGGCCCGCGCCCCGCAGTGCACCGTATTAGGAAATGCCCGGCGCGCAGGGCCCGGCCACCCCGCCCTCTCCATTCAACCCCGGCGGTAGCCGTGGTGACAGCTCCCCTCCCCCACGGCCGCCGCCCGCGCCCCCGCCACCCCGGCCCGCTCCCCCCGAGCCTGGAACCTCCGCGGACCGCGGCGCGGGGAGAGCCCGAGGGCGCCCCGCGGCGCGCGTACCCCGCAGTCATGGTGATGTTGTAGAAGGTGAGCCAGGTGGTGGCCAACAAGCCGAGGCGCCTCCGCTTGCCGGGGGCCTCCCGGTCCTCGCCGGCCTCCGAGGCGCCGCCGTTGGTGCCGTCCTCGTCGCTGGACGCCATGGTGGCCGCGCACCCGGGGGACGTGGGAGAGAGCGGCAGGAGCGTGGGAGGGGGCCCTGCCCAGTGCGCAGCCTGAGCGCCGCTGCCCGCTTCCGCCGCCTCAGTCAGGCGCCCCATGTGTCGCGCACTGGGGGCTAGGCACCGACAGCCCGGCCGACCGCGAAGGGGAGGAGCGGACGCCCCCGGCCACTGCCTGCCCGCCCCGCCCCTGCCCTTGACACCGCCCCGGCCACCGCCCAACCCGCTCTTTGGGAGCGCGCCACTCGGGGGCCAGAACCCACGGCCCGGCACTGGGGATCCGGGACCCGCGAGCCCAGCTTTCCAGGCGGCGCTGTCGTTCCGGTTCCCGTGGAAAGTGCACCCTCCTTCCTCGCTAGCTGCGTGGAAGGGCCTCTTCCTAGAGAGGCTCCCAGACGCCTTGCGCCCTGGCGATGTGTTCCCTGCGAGTGCATCTAGTAGGGACGCAGGGAACGCACCTGAACTTGACGTGGCTCTGCCTTGCTTGGCCTTTTGTAAGGCAGTTTGTCGATGCGCAGGCAGGGAGCGGGATCTCACCAAACATTCATTCTTTTTCTTTTCTTGTCTCTTTTTTTTTTTTCTTTCTTTTCCTTTTCTTTTTAGAGACAGGGTCTCTTTCTCTTAGGCTGGAGGGCAATGACGCGATCACAGCTCACTGCAATTTCCTGGGCTCAAGCAATCCTCCCACCTCCGCCTCCCAAAGTGCGGGGAATACAAGCGAGAGCCACAGCGCTGGGCCAAACATTCATTCATTCTTAAGAGCTCCTGGGGAAAAAACTCCCATTTCGCCCTGTTTCCCTTTTACCAGCCAGTCCAACAGGTAGAAGGGGATTACAGTGAGAAGACCATCCCACTTGTGTGATTTCTTTCTCTTTTTAAATTAAGACAGAGTCTGGAGTGCAGTGGCACGATCTGCAACCTCCGCCTCCCGAGTTCAAGAGATTCTCTTGCCTCAGCCTCCCGAGTGGCTGTAACTACAGTCATGCACAAGCACACCTGGCTAATTTTTGTATTTTTAGTAGAGACGGTTTCACCATGTTTGCCAGGCTTGTCTCGAACTTCTGGCCTTAAGTGATCGACCCTCCTTGGCTCCCTCAAGTACTGGGATTACAGGCGTGAGCCACCACACCTGGCCCCACTTTGTGTGTGTGTGTGTGTGTGTGTGTGTGTGTGTGTGTGTGTGTGTATTTACCAAGTCCACTGATTGAAACGGTAATGATGTCAATTCAGCGCAGAAGGTTAGATGTCTTAGGGGAGCTGGAGAAAAAAAGGACATGATAAGCCAAGGGCAGCAAACAAGAAACGTTTGTACAGATACAGGCAACCTAGCCACTGGGCCAACAGAACTCTTTCCAGGCAAGGGAGATAGAATCCCACTGTTTTCTACTTTATCTCCTGTCAGTGCTCATGCTTTCCCCTCTTAACACTTTACTCTGTCCCCTTGAAGCATGCAGTTAAGAAGGCAGGCACTGGAGTCAATTACTGAAATCCAAACCCCAAATTCCTGACTCCTCCCCTCTTATTAGCTGTATGGTCTTGGGCAGCTAACCTCTGCATGCCTCAGTTTTCTTAGTGGAAATGATTTTTTTTTTTTTCCAGGTGAGCTGAAATCGGCCATTCCACTATAGCCTGGGGAAAGAGCAGAAAATACTGAAATGCAGAATGACTTAGTAACATCGTAAGTGTATGTCTAACTTTTTAAGAAACCACACTGTTTTCCAATTTTTTTAAAGAGATTTAAAAATTTTTCATGGTTTCTTTCATGGGGTGGATGACCTGGATAATCCATTCAAAACCTAGTAATTAAAGAAAGCAATTAATTCACCACAAAATTCAGCAACAGGCTGTGTGTGGTGGTTCATGCCTATAATCCCAGCACTTTGGGAGGCCAAGGAGGCCTTGAGGTCAGAAGTTCAAGGCCTGGATAATCCATTCAAGGAAGTTCACTTAGTCCAACTTAATGAAACCTGTATCCTTTGTGTACCAATGGAAACACTGGGGCACATATTGAGGTTGTACTTCCGGATGACATCATGCTGTTTTGAGCAAGAACCCTGGCCAATTTCACAGGTGGCTCTAGTATAGCTGCTAGGGACCCATCTTGTCCTTACGAGTAAGAAGTGAAAGGAAGGAGCTAGCACACACATGCACTTTTCAAATTTTTCCGGTTTTTCTAAGTGGTTGCACCATTTTACATTTCCATCATCCATGCAGGAGAGTTTCAGATGCTCCACGTCCTAGCCAACATTTGGTATAGTCAGTCTTTGAAATTTTAGACATTCTAATAGGTGTATTATTTAATTGTGGTTTTAATATTCACTTCTCTAATGACTAATTATGCTGTTGCTTTACATGTGCTTGTCAGTTGTATATTTTCCTTGCTATAGTTACTGTTCAAATCTGTTGCCCAATTTTTTTTCCTTTCGAGACAGGGTCTCACTTGTCACCCAGGCTGGAGTGCAGTGGCCCGATCTCAGTTCACTGCAACCTCCACTTCCCAGGTTCAAGTGATTCTCGTGTCTCAGCCTCCCAAGTAGCTGAGATTACAGTTGCAAGCCACCATGCCCAGATAATTTCTATAGTTTTTAGTAGAGACGGGGTTCCACCATGTTGACCAGGCTGGTCTTGAACTCCTGACCTCAAGGCCTCCTTGGCCTCCCAAAGTGCTAGGATTATAGGCGTGAGCCACCATACCCAGCATGTTGCTGAATTTTGCGGTGAATTAATTGCTTTAATTACTAGATTTTGATACTACTATATATTTTCTGGATAAAAATCCTTTATCAGAGATATGATTTGCAAATATTTCTTCCCAGTTCATGGGAGAATTTTTGTTTATTTTTTTAGAGACAGAGTCTTGCTGTGTTGCCCAGGTCAGTCTTGAACTCCTGTGTTCAAGCAATCCTCCTACTGAAGTGCTGTGATTACAGGCATGAGCCAGTAGGATGATTTTCTTGACAGTAACTTTCAAAGAGCAGATGTTATTAATTTTCATGAAGTTCTGTTTATCAATTTTTTTTTCTTTGAAGGATTGAGTTTTCAGTGTTATATCTAGGAAATTATTGCCTAATCTAAGGAAACAAAGATTTTGTCCTATTTTCTTCTGGAAATTTAATATTTGAGGTTTAACATTTGGGTCTGTGATCCATTTTAACTTTTGTATATGATATGAGGTATGAAATGAGGTTCATATTTTTGCTTACAAATATTCAAGTGTTCCAGGGCCATTTGTTGAAAACCTGTCCTTTCTCTGCTGAATTTCTTCTGTACCTTGTCAAAGATCAGTTGTCCATTTATGTACGAATATATTTCTGTTAGGTCTATTCTGTTCTATTGATCTTCTTGTCTGTCTCTATGCCAGTACCATATTATCTTAATTACCATAGCTTTATGACAAATCTTGAAATCAAGTTGTGACTTGTATTTGTGACAGGGACAGTGTTAATGATGTCAGTAATCTATGATGTGTATGTTCTTAACACATCATGATAGAATTTGACTAGGCATGGTGTGGTTATTTCAACAGGATGAGAGCAATGATATCACTACGGAGAAGTGATATCATTAATTTCAGAGAAAAAAAAAAACACTTTAAAATTTCACCAGTTTTTCTATTTTTAGTTATCACAACGGGAAGGAATGTGAGGAAGAAAGCTGGTGCATTCAGGAGAGCACTTATGAAATACAGCAGAAGGCCAGGCAAGGTGGCTCACACCTATAATCCCAGCACTTTGGAAGGCTGAGGCAGACAGATCATTTGAGGTCAGAAGTTCAAGACCAGCCTGGCCAATATGATGAAACTCCATCTCTACTAAAAATACAAAAATTAACCAGGCATGGTGGAGGGCGCCCACGGTTCCAGCTACTCGGGAGGCTGAGGCAGAAGAATTGGCTTGAAGCCAGGAGATGGAGATTGCAGTGGGCCAAGGTAGTGCACTCCAGCCTGGGCAATAGAGCAAGACTGATTCTCAAAAAAAAAAAAAAAAAAAAAAAAAAAGTAGCAGAAGTGAGCTGTAGTGGAAGCAAATACAAAGAAAGAGAATGAGAACTGAAACATAAAGAGCAAGAAACCTCTGAACACAGAGGACTGGTCTGGGAAATAAGTTGAGCGTTGAGGGTTGGAAGGAATATTGGAATTCATTTAACCCAATCTCCTTATTGTTTTTATTGATGGGGAAAACTGAGACACAGAGAAGTTCCTTTAGAGCTTATCTATAATCTCCTTTAGAACAGAATCAATCACACAAATTTGGTTCTAGGCTGACAGTTGAAAGTCAAGACTTTGTAAGTAAAACCCTTCTGTTCTGTAGGTTTATTATTATAAACAAGAACTTCATGCCTAAGAACCATTTCACACCTTACAAAACTGATCATGAAAATAAAATAAAACATACACATATGCTATTATGAATATTAATTATGTAAGACTAAAAACATAAAAGTAGTATTTTAAATGCTCCTTTGGGGAATATTTTCTACACTGGCACAGATCTATATCCAGGGAATTTTAGTATAAAAATACCTTTTTTCCTTTTGTAAATATGCAAATATGTAAATTTCATTTTGTAAATATGTATATGCATATAGAGTAAGCACATCCATTTTTCATTGTGCTAAACACTGAATTGCCTTCAAAACTGGAGTCATCTGTTTTGAAAAATCTTTGAATGGTAAATGGTGGGAAGGAATAGATTGCTTTGTGAGGTCTTCAGTTTCAAAGATCCTTTGGATGTATCAGCTGCTGAGTCACCAGAACCAGCATCAACCCTGACCAGCAGGTAAGTGTTGCTAATCTAGTTACCTGGTCTCTGGTAGTTACTAGGTGTTCATAAAAGAAAAAGACATGATCTTTATACTAGGAAAAAAGGTCAAAGTGGAAGAAGTCACAAATTGAATTATAATGAATACGAGAGTTTATATCATACTATCATTTGGTGTGAAAAGGCTATTTATAGACGCTGTCGTTACATAGATTGGTTCAAACTTCTCCAAATAAGATATGTCAAACCATGATACAACAGCTGTCCCAAAATATCCATTAGGAGCAAAAGAGCGACAAGGGTGGGGACAGGCCTGCAGTCTAGTTGCTGGGTAAGGTCTGACTAGGCTGTGGTTTTCAAACATTTTTGCTTTTTTGAAATACA